ATTGTATGTAAATCACATACACAATAGTTCATCAGGAGGCGGAATTACTATAGTATTCAATTATGGGCTGTCTGTCCTCGTGAGCCGCATGATTCGATACACATGACGTCATATAATGCCACGTGGAAATACACTGCGATGCCACGTAGACACATATGATGCCATGTGGACGGGTGGTGCGCATCACCCCGTCCACATTCGCCCCCTATCCAACCAAAAACTATTTTGATGTTCTAACTTACAATTAATTATTTTTTAAATTTAAAAATTAAAATTGTTATAAATTAATCCTATTTTTTCACACTTAAAAATTTTGAATCATTGTAAATAATGAATGTAAGTACACGTTAATTTTAATTTTTAATTATAATAAAAAATTAAAACTTTTTTTTGACAAGAAAGTTCCAAAAATACAAATGTATTGATAGATTTAGTAAGTATGAATACCACACTTTTAAATTTTATTTTTTGTATTCTTTAAAAAAAAGATTTACTAATTATATTTATAAAGCATGTTAATTTATATATATTTTTAAAATACTTAATAATTATTTTTGAAATAATCTTAATCAGGATAACTTGTTACAAACTCAGGTTGCTTGGACTTTTCTTCTCTTACAAGAAAGTGAATCTTGTTTATGATGCTCAAAAAGAACATCCCCACAAGATCAAAAATACAATAGAACCTTACTCCCCTCGTTAAAACTCCTTTACCAATTACCAATCATGCTATAGCAAAACCCCGTATGCAAATTGAATTATTGCAACAAATAATTACAACTGGACAAAATCACAGAGATGAAACTCTACTCTACCCAAAAGAAAAAAAAAAGAAACAAACAGCCAATCATTTCCAAATCCTATCATCTATCAATTTGTTTGCAGGAGAAAAATTCCAAACAAGACAATTCTCTTGCTCTGCATTCAACATTTCAATAATTAAACAATACCCTGTTTTGTTGATCTTGGTTCCCAGGTCACTCGGAGTAGTATCAGGAATCACAGGGAGTGGCGGTACAGTTGGCGCGGTTCTGACCCAGCTACTGTTGTTTTCTGGGTCAAGGTTTTCAAAGCAGACAAGCATATCTCTTATGGGTCTAATGATGATTGTTTGTACTATGCCTGTTTCCTTGATTTACTTTCCTAGATTGGGTGGCATGTTTTGTGGCCCTTCCTTCAACCCAGATCCTGAAGATTATCACCTGCTCGAACAAGAGGAGTCTATTACGCCGGAAAACAAGTGAGCAGCGGACCATATCCTTCGATCTCAAACACCATTAAGCATCACTTCCAACCAAATCAAGAATGAAATGTTGAATTTGCAAGCCAAGACGAAAAATATTGAAACAAGCCAAGGACGGTAACTGCAGAAACATGTAAGTAAAGATTTGTCAACTAACATTAAGGATAAAAATATTAAAGGAATAAAAATTAGGGTATCTAGCAACACAAATAAATTGGAAGACTATAAAATGTTACTGGTTTTTATCTTAATTCTTTGTTAGAAAATTATAAACAAAATTCAAATTGAACTAGTTTCATTAATAGAATCTTTCAATGCACTTTCTGGAGCAACAAAGAATATCAAAGATATCTTGCCATTGTCCAAGCATGTTATCATTATTGCCATCAATGTGAAGATTGTTTGTTATTGCTCTCGACCTTAGCAAATATTCAACATGTATTCTTGTTTTTGCAATAAACGAAGTTCTTTCCATCAAAAGTTGCAACTTGTAACCAGTAGATGTATTTGTCTTTCACTAAGTACATATATATATATACAGAAGCCTGGAATGGAAATACAAGATCAAATAGACGACAAAATACAAATTTTCCTGGTAGAGAACTTCTGATGCTAAAGAAAAAATTAACAGCTAGTTCCAGGGGTAATGTTTGGTTCATCTCCCACTCAATTACTAGTTCAAAATTTTATATTAACCTTGATATGCATAATTTGAACATGGATTTTATTTTTTTCAAAAAGGAAAGTTACCACAATTCTAACTTGAATTCCCTGATAGTGGGAATTCAATTTTTACCTTTCAATTGCAGGAGATGAATTCCCATCACCAAAACAAGATAGAGATGGTAATAACTCAAACATAACAATGTATATTAAAACTAATATAAAAGTTTGAACAATAAGTTGAACCAAACACAGTGCACTTTTACCTGATTTCACTGCCTTCTGATAATATTTTAGAGCACAAGCACTGAAAACGGGGAACTATGAATTTGACAAAGTCCACCAACTACCAAGAATCCCTAACAATGTAAACTTCTGAGCACCCACTTCCACTCTAGCAAGGCACAGCAACATATAATCTTGGACTTCAACCTTCTTGGCATATAGTGACTGAAGGATAAACATCACAAATTAGTATAAGTGAGTAAAATAATAACGGTAAAAGTGAAACCAGGCTAGTTTTCTGACAAACATGTGAAATCATTAAACAGATTGACTTCAAGCAAGAAACGAATTGTAGTAAGCTTAAGTAAACCATGTTAGTCTCTAAGCAACATAGAAGCATGTAAGATTAAACACATTGATTTCACACAATAAACATGAACAGTAGCAAACTTAAGTAAACCAGGCTACATCTCTATATCCAGCAAGTAGAATAATGTGTAAGAAAGTTAAAGATCTTCAATTAAATTACATAGTAGAGAAGCAATAAACAAATAAGAAATAGGAATGCACCTTTTGTTTGTAGAAGTAAGGCTCTTGGCGCTTAGTTTGGAGACACTTCTGTAATATCCAAGTTTATAGTCAAGAATGCGTCAATTAGTATGCAAGTAAATAGGCTAAATAAAATGTTTGCAGAGTCTTTTATTTCTAACACATGTAAGAAGAGCGTTGGGAGATTGAAATTTAACAAGTACATCATAAGTTTCTAACATTACCAACAAGAAGGACAACAAGGAACTAAGTCTTCTGTGTTCAACTCCACAATTCAACAAAAGGATTGCCTTGTTATTTATCCGCAACATAAGAGATTTGGGAAGGTTTACCAGAACCAAAAAAGAGTGGGAAGGGTTGAAAGAAAGGACAAATCTGACCTCAAATTTCTGGGTTTACTTTAGTCTTTATTTAATTATGTTATGGTTAAGTTATGAATAAAGCAATAAAACTATTAACAGTTTGGTTTGGCTTTACAATGTAAAGAATAAAAGGCAGTTTGAGATAAGTTTAAAAGATAGTTCCCGTCGAAGGAGTACTGGTCTTCGGGAGCCTTGTAGTCGTGGTATAAGTATAAGACAAGAATTTGACTAGGTATGAAACAACTTTAGAACTTCTTATTGTTCTTTTGCTTATGATATTTCACAGTTCTCTAACGAGCCCTTTGAACTTTCACTCATAACTGATAGAAAACAGCCAAAGACATTCTCAACACAATGTCCAGGCCTGACTGAGCTGCACAAATTGGTCTCGCACACACACTGGAAAAGAGGGTTCCATTTCTCTCCCTGATCCATATAAATCAACATTTTTTCCTTTCGTCTTCAAGTAACCCTCAAACCCCTCTGTGCCAATAAAGACTGCATGGACTATGGATAATAATAATGATAACGGTAATGAATTCTTTTCTCTTAAATGAAGGATGATGATGAGTTTTATGACAATAATCAATCATGTGTTATAAAATATTCAAGATAAGAAAAATAAGGATTGTGCTTGAGTATCATGAAAGCTTCCTAACCTGCTCGATGAAGAAATAGACTGATAAAGGAGTGGGTTTTCTTCTTAGGAGGAAAAGTGTCACTTCTTGCAGAAGTATTATAGGATTTCCCCAGTTCAGAAACACAACAAGAAAGAGAAAAACAGGCAACCAGAATTTCCTTCGCTGAAATATGTCTGAATCATCACCTGACAAGTCTACATCATGGTCACCTACCAAGATATCGTCACCTATGCATTTTACGTCAAAAACACAGGATTATCAAAGTTGTATCAGAAAGAATAGCTAATTTTATAGCTCGTTATAGCACCATCTGGGCAATCTGCTCACCATCCATAGCATAAGCAGCATGCTTCTGGAAGCATAATGATGCAGATACAACTGAAACACCAAACAAAACTCTCCTGATATTTTTACTTCCTGAAAGAACACCAGTAAGAAATATCCAATTAATA